AGGTCTCGCCAGGTTGCCTGGCTTGGTCTTGAACCTGCAATCCTCTTGCATTGGCCTCCCAAAGTGCTGGGATTACAGGCTGAGCCACTGAGCCCGGCCGACCTTCCTTTTTGAGATACCTCTCTTGTCTGCTACACCATCACTCCCCCAGTGACTGTCCTGTCCTTGCTTTAGTCTTTCCAATCTTCCTTGCCAACTACTTTTCCTGCATATAGCAGTCCTCTCTTATCCGCGGAGAATATATTGCAAAACCTCCAGCAGACAACTGAAATCGCAAACCAAATGGTACTGAACCTTATATGTACATTATTATGTTCTTTCCTAGACATCTATACCTATGATAAAGTTTAATTTATAAATTAGGTACAGTGAAAGATTAACAATAGTAAAATAGAATCACAATGTACTGTAATAAAATTATGTGAATGTGGGTACTTTCAAGATCTTCTTGTACTGTATTCATCTGTTTTTGGAAGCAGTTGACCATAACTGAAATTGCAGAAAATGATACCATGGATAAGGGGGACTACCGGACCCACCTCGAGGCTGCCTACACACACTTAGCCATTGGTTCAACTGCACCCTCAATGCTGATGACTTCCAAATCCATGTCCCTAGCCCAGACCTCCTTCATGAGCTCCTCAGTGCAGACTGGGGTGGCAGCTCAGATTTCCATTTTTCCATTAGATTCTGTGAGACAGCTCAGGACTTTTGATTAACATGTTTTATTATTTATATTTTAAATAGGAATACACGCAAATAATTCAAATCCAAAATAAATGATAAAGATTCCAGTCCTATCCCCTTCCTTAGCTACTCATAAATTCTCCTCTTGGGAGGGAACCGATATTATCTGTTTATTTTTTGGGTGTTTTTCCAGAGATATTTTCTGCATACACAAGTAAATCCACGGATTTATGCTTCTCCTTTACTCCCTACTGGTCCTGGATTATTGGTCCAGAACAGTCAGCAGAGGCTGGTCAGTAACATATAAGACAGCATGGCAAAAAAACTCAAACAGAGAACAATGAACAATCAGGTCCTCTTCTCTGAGATCTCCGTCTGAGACCCAAAGAGGGTAACTCGGTTGCAAGCAACACAGAACCCGAAGCGACAGAGAGAGAAGGAAGAGGTGATGACAAGGGGAATGTAGAAACTCTTGAGTCAACGGAAAATGAGTAAACAAACACTACTGGGTATACTGAATGGAGGGTCAAGTAATTGTCTGGAGTGCTAAAAACAGAGGAGCACAGTCACCAGAATGGCAGAGGACAAACTCTTGCTGCTGAAGAGGCAACAAAATAATACTAGAATTGTCCTGGAACCTGACCTGCTTTCTGACTCCTGGATTACTATATATATTCCAGCCTGTGTGAAACCTGGCTGGATGACAACACATTGGCTCCTGTGTGACTTGTGTTCCCATGAGATTCTTGCTGTCCCTATGACCTCAACCCCCAACCACCTTATATTCTAGTCATGTAAATTAGTTCCCCACCCATGTGATACTCTGCCATATGTTTATGCGCTTATACTATTTCCTCCAACTGGAACAATTCCTTCCATCTCCCAAATAAATACTTGTAACTTCTTCTACCACTTACTCATCTTTTAAGACTGAGTTCAGGTTCTTCTAAGTGGCTTTCTCTGACTCAACCAGGTACTCTTCCTCTGCTCCTAACAAATTTTATGGTACCTTGCATTGTGATTGTGCATCTCCATAACTAAAGGTGGAGCTTCTTGTTTACTGTTGTATGCCTGGTGCGTGGCTCAGTACTCAGCACAAAGCAGACAGTTAATGAATACCATTGTTTTTGTTAAAGTTCTCAGTTGCTAGGCTCTTTCAGTAACCAATACACTCAATAGCTTCCATGATCACTCCTCTTCTGGCATTTCTACTTGCAGCATGTAGTATCTGACCCATGCCATGGTACTATAACAGGACGTTGATTCCGTGGCTTTTACATGGGATTCCTTCAGCTCAGGATCTCCTTCTCATTCCTGTCCCCTAACCTACTCCACGAATAGAAGTAGGGAGCCCAGAATGAAAGGTTTTGCACTAGGTCAGGCAGGAGAGGATGATGGCCTGAACTAAGGGCTATTGGTGGGCAAGAGGTAGATAAACTCTGGAGGTGGAATAGGCACCAGATACCTGGCAAAGAATTGCATATGAGATAAAGAAGAGACATGTATCAATAATGACTCCTGGGTTTTCTGATTTGACCAAGTGAAAGGTGTTTTCATTCAAAGACAGGAAGTGAAGCAAGAGGTAAATTAATCATTCACATCTTTGTATAATTAGATTTCTTGTCTAATGTGGTGTACTTAGGGAATGGGGTACTGATTTTTTTGTGTGGTGGTAATGGGGAGGATATTATTTTAAAAGCGAACAATTAGTCATTTTTGAGAATGAGGTGGCATTAATTATATTGAAATTGAGCATCAGTTTCCAGAACTTATTTTTCTTTCTTTCTTTTTTTGAGTCAAGATCTCACTGTCACCCAGACTGGAATGCAGTGGCATGATCATGGTTACCACAGTCTTGACCTCCTGGACTCAGGCAATTCTTCTGTCTCAGTCTTTCAAGGAGCTGGAATTATAGGCCCACAACCACCACTTTCTTTTTTATTTATTGTAGAGATGAGGTCTTACTAAGTTTCCCAGGCTGGTCTTGAACCCCTGGGCTCAGGCAATCCTCTTGCTTCTGCCTCCCAAAGTGCTGGGATTACAGGCATGAGCCACTGCACCTCGTCCTCCAGAACTTATTTCATCTTTCAAAGTGCAACTGCTTACTCCAAGTATGAACTCCCCATTTCTTCCTCTCCCCAGTCCCTGGCATCCACCATTCTACTTTGTCTCTACGAATTTTACTATCCTAGGTATCTTATGTAAGTGGTATTGTATAGTATTTATCCTTTTGTGACTGGCTTATTTCACTTAGCATAATGTTTTCAAGGTTCATCCATGCCGTAACGTGTCAGAATTTCCTTCCTTTTAAAGATGAAATGAGCTGGGCTCGGTGGCTCAGCCTATAATCCTGCGCCTTTGGGAGGCTGAGGTGAGTGGATTGCCTGAGCCTGCGGGTTCGACACCCGCCTGGGCAGCGAGACCTCATCTCTACAATAAATCAAAAAATCAGCTGGGCGTGGTAGCGCACGCCTGTAGTTCCAGCTATTTGGAAGGCTGAGGCGGAAGGATCGCCGGAGCCCAGCAGGTCTAGGCTGCGGTGGCCGGGAGCGGCCGCTGCACTCCAGTCTGGGTGACAGTGAGACTCCAACTCAAAAACAAAAACAAAAACAAATAAAGGTGAAATGATATTCCTTTGTATGCATACATCACATTTTATTTATCCATCCATCCTTCAATGGACATTTAGATTGCTTCCACCTTTTAGCTATTGGGAATAACGTTACTGCGATCATGGGTGTACAAATATCTGTTCAAATCCCTGCTTTCAATTTTTTGGCATACACTCAAAAGTGAAATTGGTGGATCATATGTTAATTCTATGATTTCTTAAGGAAGCACCATGCTGTTTTCCATAGTGGCAACACAATTTTATGTTCCCACCAGCAAGGCACAAGGGTTCCAATTTCTCCTTCCTCCCCAATACTTGTTATTTCCTGTTCTTTCTTTTTCTTTCTCTTTTAAAGAACAGCCATCCTAATGGGCCTGAAGTGGTATCTTGTGGTTTTGATTTGCATTTCTCTAATGATTAGCGATTTTGAGCATCTTTTCATGTGCTTAATGGCGACTTGTGTATCTTCTTTGGGGATATGTGTCTTCAAGTTCTTTGCCTATTTGTGAATTGGGCTGTTTTTTGTGAGTTTACAGTTATTTTATAATATACACAGTTCTGGAAATAAAACAGGTTGTCAGGACATAAGAATATGCATATTAGGATGGTATAGAAATGGTAGGGCCCTTGAGAAAAGAGGCAGAAAGATTTTTTTAGAAATGTAAAGTCTTATTTTTTAGGGAAGAGTAAAGAAAACACATTCTTTGGATTCTGAGCTTATTTTAGTAGTTTGGGAACCTTATGGATTACCTAAATATTGGTGGACTACCCTGTGAACCTAACGACCATATAAGAACACTACTTATATTTAAGAAATGCCCCGTCTTATAATCCTCTAATTTAAAAACAAAATTTTGGTGCATAATTCATATTTAAACTGATGGCTACTTGTATACTAAAATCTAGCCTTGGAAAGTATGTTGGTTGCACTAATAGAGTACAGAAATAATTACTTATCACATAATACTTTTAACTGGGAATTTTTGAATGAACAAAAATTGATTTTAATGAATCATTTGTGGGATACCATAAGAAAATACACAATACAGAGCAACAGAACCAATACCTAATCATGGTATAATGAATAGAACTATGAAAACAAAGCTCTTATCTAAAGATATAGAACAGGATTGAGTGAAGGGGAGGAGTACATACACAGTGCTGTTAACTGAAGCAGCTGGAAACAGCAAAATTCTAATTCCTGGGAACAGTGTTAATCACCACTGGCAGTAGATAACGAATCTCAAATTAATTCTTTAATGTAAAAAAATTTAAATACTAAATCTTATTATTTTTAAAGTAACCATTTTACTTAATCTACTGAAAATTGATAAAGTTGGATTCTGAATTTTTGGTAAAATGTTATATGGCCAAGATTAGATAAATAACTTATATCATAGATGTATATAATGTAACTTACATATTTTAGAATAAATATGACATTATTTAAAAGCATATCTATGGTTATTTTCTTTTTCTTTCTTTCTTTTTTATTTTAAAGATGTGAGGTACAATTCAGGATTAGGTATATAAGTGGTCATCATATAGATAAAGTTTGGGCCTCCTTTGGTCCTCACTTTGCCTGGTTTGAGATCAGTTACCCTTATTGATGTTGTGTGCCCTAACCCCACCCCGGCAGTCTCTCACTACTGCCAATCCCTTTCTTATAGTGTTATGGTAAATGTTCAGGGTCTGTTTATGATCTACAGTTATTTTCAATGTTTTATACTGTATATTCTCTATACATACTTCATAGTAAAGGAATCATGTCATTGTTTAAAAACAAAACAAAACAAAACAAAACTTTCATTAATCTGGAACTAAAGATGAGCTTTCCACTTCTTGTCAGGATCTGTATTGCTAACTGTGGAAGGAAAATCAGAGTAAAAATTTAGCAACGCCCAAGTAAATGCACTGGATTTTAAGTTATCTTGTGGCTAGGAAAAGCACTCATTCTTAAAATAATTTTGTTGCTCAATATAGGGTTGGGGTGATTTTGGTACGTTGTAACAACACTACAGAGGCTTCTATATGAAATTCAAACATCTTGATTTTAAGGATTAAACTTCTATAAATATGATTACTTTGACAAATTCATCTAACACCAAAAAATAATTACAGAATTACTGCTTTAATATCTTAGAATTTACTACTTTTATTACTGCTTAAAACCTTTGGCTGTTCCTAAATCTACCACATATAAAATTCTTTGTGGTTTTGGGGTCTGAGAAAAGAGAAGCTATCTTCCCACTACATGTCTTTGTCATTCTAGTGGGTAAGGATCAGAACCCTAGGCGAAATTCTAATTCCTATGGGAGGTTTTGGTTCCAATTTGTGGTCAACTGGCCTTGTGCTACTGACCTTCTGGCTTGTCTCTCCAACTTAAAGTAATATTCAAGGGAAAACTCTGACGGGTGTTACTTTTCTTAAAAGGAAACTAATGCATCTTTAAATTAAATGGTGGTAACAAAATAAGTATACTTACATATTTTCCCTTCTTTTTCTAGCTTTTTCAAATGAAGCAAGAGATTATGTTTAGCTACTTTATGCAAATGCTCAGGAGTATTCTAAAAGAAAAATGAGGGTGAAAGAAAAACATTTCTTTTTTTAAAAAAAGAACACAGTTAATCTTTTTGAAACTGTTAAATAAAAACACAGTGTAACAAAGGAAGAAAAGTTTAACTTAACACATTTTAAAATAGCAATGACCTAAGTAATTTTACTTTGAACACATCTTGCTTTAGGCCTTATCTATTCCTACAGATGAAACAGACTGTAAATGCCATAAAGACAATAGCAGTGTCTCTTTTGTTCATTACTGAATACAGTGTTTAGCATAAGAACACTCATTAATATTTTATGAATGAATTTATATAAAATTATTCTTTGAGGCCAGGTGTAGGGGCTCATGCCTGTAATCTCAGCACTTTGGGAGGCTGAGACAGGAGGATCACCTGAGGCCAGGAGTTCAAGATCAGTCTGGTCAACATTGTGAGACTCCATCTCTGCTAAAAACAAAAAAAAAAAAAAAAAAAACCAACAAAAATTATTATTATTTTTTGTTTTTCTGAGTTAGGGTCTCACTCTGTCACCTAGGCAGTAGTGCAGTGGTGTGATCCTGGCTCACCACAGCCTCAAAAAACTCCTGGGCTCAAGCCATCCTTCCGCCTCAGTCTCCCAAGTAGCTGGGACTACAGGTGCACGTCCAGCTAATTTTCTGCCCAGGCTGGTTGCCCAGGCTGGTTGCCCAGGCTGGTTGCCCAGGCTGGTCTCGCTATGTTTCCCAGGCTGGTCTTGAACGCCTGGTCTCAAGTGATTTCCTGTCTTGGTCCTCCCAAGTGCTGGAATTACAGGCATGAGCTACTGCAGCCGACCTATTCTTAGAGTTTTGATAATGCTACAAACAGTTGGCCATATGCTTCATTAAGTTACAGAATAATATTTGCACATTTTGATAAAAGTAAATATATTTCAACCTTAAGACTCACAATTTTTCTTTTACTTTTGCTAAAATAGCAAAATAATACTGAATGAAAAACAAAGCAAATCTTCCTTTTATTCTGTTTTTTTTTTTTTTTGAGTTGGAGTCTAACTCTATCGCCAGGCTGGAGTGCGGTGGCACGCACGCTCATGGCCACCCCAGTGTCAACCTGCTGGGCTCCCGTGATCCTTCTGCCTCAGCATTCCAAGTAGCCAGAACTACAGGCACTACTAATTTTTGATTTATTGTAGAGAAGAGGTCTCGCCAAGTTGTTCAGGCTGGTCTCAAACCCACGGGCTCAGGCAATCTACTCACCTCGGCCTCCCAAAGCCGAGGCTTGAGCCACCACACCCAGCCCTTTTTATTCTTTAAATAAGGATAATATTTTTGAAGCTAAGCTTCCTGACTAAATTCACTGTCTGTATTTCTCAGCTCCCTAAAAATGTTTTTTCCAAGATCATTAAATTATCTCAGTCAAAATTCAGTGGATTCTTTTCAGTCTCATTGTACCTGTTTAATAAACTGGCTATTCTCTCTCTTTGGGAGATATCTTTCCTTTTTCCCCTGGTTAACATATCTCTCATAATTTGTCTTCAGCCTGGATAGTCTTCCTCAGCCTTCTCTTAAACACTGATGTTTACAATGGGTTGTATCACTGGCTCTCTTTTTAACTCAGCCAACTCACCAGAGCAATATCATTCATTAATGATCCTCAAATCTAAACTCCCAACACCAAACTCTCACTAAGTGCCAGTACCATATACTATGTCTATTAGCGCAGTGTGATTTTCTAGATCTCATTATGCGACCTCCTTGCCTAAGATCTTCGAGTCATCATTCCCAGGTTATTGGCTAAAATCCCAATTTTTAGCTAGCGATCAAGGCTTCCCATGATCCGATTATGCCTTCCTTTCTCCCCTCACTTTTTGGATCTCTCTTCCACATATACAACCTGTGCTCCAGACATAGATGCTTCTTTGTGGTGTTTCAAGCACACAATGCTCTTTTATTACTCTTAGTGTTTAAACACATCTTTCCCTTGGTTTAGAATAAATTATTAGCTGGGTACAGTTCATGCCTGTAATAAATTATTAGCTGGGTACAGTTCATTACAGCTCATGCCTGTAATTCCAGCACTTTGGGAGGCGGAGGTAAGAGGTTTGCCTGAGCTCAGGGTTTTGAGACCAGCCTGAGCAACATGGTAAGACCTCATCTCCACAATAAATAAAAAAAAAATCAGTCAGGCATGGTGGCACACACTGATGGCTCTAGCTACTTAGAAGGCTGAAGTAGAAGGATCACCTGATCCCAGTAAGTCATGGCTACATGGCTGTGAGCGTGCCACTGCACTCCAGCCTGGGTGACAGAGTGAGACTGACTCAAAAAACAGAATATTTTTTCCTCTACTCTGGCCTGAAAAATGCTTACTCTGCTTCAAGATTCAACTAAATAAGTTTCAGAAGGCTTCCCAGACAAGCCTTGTTTTTTTTTTTTTTTTTTTTTTGAGTTGGAGTCTAACTCTGTTGCCCAGGCTGGAGTGTAGTGGCATGCTCATAGCTACCACAGCCTCAACCTGCTGGGTTCAGGGGCTCTTTCTGCCTCAGCCTCCCAAGTAGCTGGAACTACAGGAGAGCACCACCAAGCCCAGCTAATTTTTTGATGTCTTGTAGAGACGAGATGTTGTCAAGTTGCCCATTCTGGTCTTGAATCCCTGGACTCAGGCAATCCTCTTGCCTCTGCCTCCCAAAGTGCTGGGAATACAGGCGTGAGTCACTGCGCCTGACTGACAAGCTTTGTTACCCTGCATCATCATTAGATATAACTGATTTCTCTTTCTTCTGTGCCCTGACATACTATGTATAGGACTTGGAGGGAGGCTGATGTAGAAGAAAACACAAGATTTGGGGATCTGACATCTGCTAGTTGTGTGCCCCAGGGAAAGTCACTCACACTTTTTGAAGTTCAGTTTATCTATCTATTAAATTGGAATAACAGTATCTTTATGTGATAAAAATTCAAGGTACTATATATATGGTGTTTAGTATAGTATTTAGCATGTGCTCAGTAAATGGAAGCAATTATGACAGAGCCAGTATTACAAGCATTTATTGAATATTTCTGCCTTCCCTAAACTACAAATCCCCTGGCAATAGGGATCTGTAGTTATCTTTGTATCTCTACACCTAGTTTACAGCATGGCATATAAAAGGCATTCAATAAATACTTGCTGACTGAATAAATCACTCTAAAATACTTATGCCCTTCTATACGCAACAGGTGAACACCCTTGCACAGTGAATACGCTTCTGCAGACAACTCCAAATGCAAAATCAGCATTTTTTCTAGCCAAGTTCTGCTGTCTGTACTTAGGTTAGGAAAAACCCCCCAGCACTGAGGTATAACCTAGAGTGACTAACCTCTAGTGTTATGAGGAAGTGACTATTTCACACAATTTAGATACTTACCCACTCTCTTGCCAATTATATATTTTGTGTCCTGATAGATATTTGAACCATTCATCCCTCCCTTTGAAAACAAGGCACACTGAATGTGAACTGTTTCTTGATGACTTTGGTTTATGGGACATGAAGGTCTTTTATTAATTTAACTGGCCCCGGGTTGCCTTTCCGACTTCATCTTTAGTTACAATCTCATGTATCTTATGGCTGCACACGTTGTGGTAGTGAAAATTTTTACACCTAGGTAGCTGATTACAAAGCCCACATTCTTAACCTCTAAGTCACACTCCCTATATGGCAGTCATCTAATAAGCATTCGCTGAAAACTGAATTATACTGACTGCCACACAGTGCTGGCATGCAGAGATGTGCTAAGAGCCCACTGAGCTATAATTAAGGTGCTCTACCTGCATACTACTCCACTTGTTTTCTTTGATATGCGTTTTTCTCCTTTTTCTCCACTGTTAGGCAATGCTACTGCTTCTCACTGCTATTATCCAATATTTGTCTATAGCAGACTATCCCTTTTCACTTGCTGCAGGCTAGGATTCCACATAATCAAGACGGCCAGAATAATGCATAAATCATTACAAAACTGAATCACTAGGTAGCTTCAACCACAGGGTAAAATACATAATGTTTAATGATGACTCAGAATGGCTACTTTGTTCTCTAAGGTCAGTTTTTGTTGTTTTAAAAAATATTTTAAAGGTTTTTTAAAAAGCTCTGCCACTCAGGCTAGAGTGCAATAGTGTGATCATAGTTCACTGCAGCTTTTAACTCCCAGGCTCAAGCAATCCTCCTGCTTCAGCCTCCCCAGTAACTGGGACTACAGGCACATACTACCATGCCTGGCTTATTTTTAAAATTTTTGTAGACAGGTGGTTTTGCTGTGTTGCTCAGGTTAGTCTTGAACTCCTGACCTCAAGTGATCCTCCTGCCTTGGCCTCCCAAAGTGCTGAGATTATGGGTTGCCTGGCCAGGTCAGTTTTTGTTTAACTTCAGTGTTTTGGAAAGTTGAGACTGCTGGTTTCAAATTTAGACAAGAGGCGTAACTTATGAAATCAACAGGTTTGTTCTGATATGGGATGTGGTAAGTTTACTATATCTATTAAATAGGTTATTCTATTAAACAGTCTACTGAATAGATTATTCTAATACATTTATAACTGTACAAGTAAGATAAATGAAAATTACCTTGTAAATAATTTTTACAAGCTCCATATCTGTATATGATTTTTCAAAGTTCTCATGAAATACTGTAAGAATTTGCTCTTCTCGGATATTTCTGTGTGAAATGTATTCTTGAATTTTAGCTTCAGCATTATGGATTACTGGTCCATGTCCTAAATAAAATGATAAAAATTACTTCAACCAGATAAAAAATAGTAAATACAATTGAAGTTAACTCATTCTATTTAAAAATAATTCATTTGATGTACTGAATAAGAATTATATATATACAAATATAAATTATTTGGAAAGCTATACGGGTATAAGAGATTTAAAAGTTACATTCAGTGTCCCCCAGATTTGAAAATTATAGCAAATAAAATCTATTAGAAAATGTTACTGTGTACATTAAAAAATATAAAATAAAAATTTAACAATAAAATATAGCAAAAAACCCAGCAACCACAATAGTAACAATAAGTAATATTTATGGAGTACTCACTATGTGCCAGGCACTTATAAATGCCTAATATACACGATTTTTACAAGAATCCTATTAGGTAGGAACAATTATTATACTTTTTCTATAGTAGGAACTGAGGCATACAGAGGGTAAATAAACTGCCCACAGTTATACCACTAAAAGAAGGGGTGGAGCTGGGATTCTGACTTAGGAGCTCTTAGCCACCCTGTGCTACGATTACTTTCATAAGTAAGGGGAATGTAAAAAAACAGCTTTGTGTAAGTGACCAAGATCTATTAAGATTTACAAGACCCCTAGTAGAACTTAAGAATCTTATGCATAAGGCTAGTGATTCAGAAATTTTGATAGCCCATAATATGTTATACTAAACTTACTTCCCCTTTAAGACAGTACACATTAATATATTATACAAGTCTGAAAGAGGGGTGTTTCAAAAATTTGAGAATAAAAATATTTGGAAGCAGGCTAATCTATTATCATATAAAGAGCCTGGGTTTGGTTAGACACAGACTATTATTTATTAGCTCTGTGGCTGTAAGGAAGTCTCTGAATCTCTGAGTCTGTTTTTTCAGCTTGCGAGGAGGATACCACTACCTGATTCACAGGGTTTTTGTGAACATGATAGCTGTGAAGGCCCCGACACAATACCTGACAGCTAGCAGGCTTTAATATGTGGTAGCTATGGCTACAGAGCATAATTTACATATAAACAACTACTGTGCTAATAAGCCATTCACTGGATACACTAAAGCAAACACTCTGAGAACCTCTACTAGGCAGTTTCTCATTAGCTTAGCTTAAATGTGAGGTCACTGAATGTCTACTCTCTCTTTAAAAATAGCTATCAGCTTCCAATGCTTTTATGTCATCATAGCTCCGCTATGTTTCCTGTAAGCATGCTGAAGATACTTTACTGACAGTTCTTTCCATGGCTGTTTGGTTAGGAGCAAACTAGAAGAACTTAAGACAATTAAGTGACCTACTCCCTTTTTCCTTCTGGGCCTTTTTGTTGGATCCTGTCTTTTTTAGCTTTCAAGATGGAGGGGAAAATTATATAGCAGTACAGTGAGATCTGAGATACTAACAACAGGTTTCTTTCTCTGGAGAATGGAAATACATATACAATTTTACAGTTGATATAGAAATTACTGATACTGCAATATCATGAGTTAAGAAACTAAAGCTCAGGCTGGGCCCAGTGGCTCAGCCTGTAATTCCAGCACTTTGAGGTTGAGGAGAGTGCATTGCCAGAGCTTGTGGGTTCGGGATCAGCTCAGGCAACTTGGCGAAACCTTGTCTCTACAAAAAAAATAAAAAATTAGCTGGGTATGGTAGTGCATGCCTGTAGTTCTGGCTACTTGAAAGGCTGAGGCGGAAGGATTACCCGAGGCCAGCAGGTCAACTCTGGGGTGGCCATGAGCATGCCACTGCACTCCAGCCTGGGCGACTAAGACTCCAACTCAAAAACAAACAATCAAAAAGAAACTAAAGCTCAGAGGTCAGACATTACCCAAAGTTACACAGCTAAAATATGGTCCACACAGAAATCAAGTTAACAAAAGTGATGGTAAACCGGGCTCGGTGGCTCAGCCTGTAATCCCGCGTCTTGGGAGGCTGAGGTGAGGGGATTGCCTGAGCCCACGGGTTCGAGACCCGTCTGGGCAACTTGGTGAGACCTCATCTCTACAATAAATCAAAAAATTAGCCGGGCATGGTAGCGTACGCCTGTAGTTCCAGCTACTTGGAAGGCTGAGGCAGAAGATCGCCGGAGCCCAGCAGGTCGAGGCTGTGGTGGCTGGGAGCGGCCACTGCACTCCAGTCTGGGCGACAGAGTGAGACTCCAACTCAAAAAAGAAAAAAAAAAAAAAATGATGGTAGCTTATAGAATAAAAAAATTTTTCTGTTCCAACGTAAACTTATGAACTTGTTTTAGTTCTATTAATACCCGTGTAGATGTTGAAAAATTATCCTCATATCTTTGTAAAAAGTTATTAATATAACTCTCAGCCTTCCCTTTATTAACTATATGGCTAGACAAGACACAGAGGTGTTATTTATTTATTATTTTGAGTCTAAGTCTCATTCTGTCACCTAGGCTGGAGTGTAGTGGCACATTCGCGGCCACTGCAGCCTCAACCTGCTGGGGTCAGGTGATCCTTCTGCTTCAGCCTTTCAAGTAACTGGAACTACAGGCATGTGCCACTACACCCAGCTAACTTTTTGATTTATTGTAGAGACAAGGTCATGCCATGTTGCCCAGCCTAGTCTTGAACCAGTGGGCTCAGGTAATCCCCTTGCCTTCGCCTCCCAAAGTGCCAGGATTACAAGCATGACTCACTGTGCCTGGCTAGAGGTGTAATTTAAAGTAGTAGTTTATTATATGTATTTCTTCAAGGCCTAATATACACAGAGACAAGCCAAAATGAACTTTTCTCATCATTTGACACAAATGGTTTGCTAGACCTAAAAGATTACTCACCTGGATATATAATATCAGCTTTAATTTTCAATAACTCTTTTAGGGAGTTCATATAATCATAGAGGTCTTCAAACACAGTTGTTCCCTCTCCTAGGATACAATCTCCAGAAAAGATAGCATTTTCCTCTTCTAAGAGTAGAGACATATGATCATCAGTATGGCCAGGTGTATATATAACTCTGGTTGAGAGAGGAAATAATAATTATAAACTCTTAGCCTTAGAAGAAATTTTGAGAAGTAAATGATGATCTATCCTTATCTTTGGATAAGACACAAATAAATGATGCCAATGAGTTAAAAGCTCTTTTTTTTCTTGTCCCCACAGAAAATTATCAGAAAATTCTCCCCTTTAACTAAACCAAACTTCTCACTCTAAAGTAAAATTTAGTATGTTTCCTACCTTTTTTCCTCATTTTATAAGTAATAAGCACTGATTACAACAAATTTGGAAAATAAAAAAGGAAAGTACTTAAAGGAGATAAAAATTAGCAATCATTTCCGTTATTCAGAGACAATCCTCTTATTATTTAAAAATATAAAATTTTCAATTTTCTATGCATATTTGTATTTTTTTAAATTTTATTTTTGAGTTGGGGTTTCACTCTGTTGCCCTGGAGTGTAGTGGCAAGACCATGGCTTACTGCAGCCTCAACCTCCTGGCCTCAGTCTTTTATTTTTTTTATTTTTATTTTTTTGAGGGCTTTACATTTTAATGGAAATCTTAAATACTCTTCTGACAGAACACGTCTTCAATCAAGGCTTTGAACACCAACACAGAAAACTGAAACTTTTTGGGGCAGGGGGCAAGGAGGGGCAGTACAAGAGGATGAGTGGTTGCTTAGTTTTGCCAAAAGACTCCTGTGGCCTCAGTCTTTCAAGTAGCTGGGACTACAGAAGCACTCCACCACGCCTAGCTAATTTATTTATTTGTTTTTTTGTAGAGGTGAGGTCTTGCTATGTTGCCCAGGCTAGTCTTACTCTCCTGGTTTCAAGCAATTCTGCCTTGGTTTCCCCAAGTGCTCGGATTAAAGGCGTGAGCCACTGTTCCTGGTCTTGCATATTTATATTTTAAAGCAAAATTGTGGTATTATTTTAATAACTGAATTTTGAATTTTTCACTTACTATATATATTGTAATCTCCTGCATCATTAAATATTTTTCAAAGCTAGGTATCTAAGTGGTTAGCACAGTAGCTGGCACAATGTCACACAATTAATAAATGGTAAATATTTTATTTTAGTAGCGGTTACCTAAAAGTTTAAAAGCTTTCTTTGATCTATATTTTTCTAAGTAAACATTTCATAAAAAAGCGTTTTTTATTAAGTTCACTCTACATAAGATATTTAGCATGCTTTTATTTCCTTTTCCTCTCCTCTAATTTTCAGATTTTGTTAACAAAACCAATATTATAATACTTTTTTTTGAGTTGGAATCTCACTCTGTTGCCCAGGTTGGAGTGCAGTGGCATGCTCAGAATCACCACAGCCTCGACCTGCTGTGCTCAGGTGATCCTTCCCCTTCAGCCTTTCAAGTAGCTGAAACTATAGGTGAGTGCCACCATGCCTGGCTTATTTTTTTGATTTTTTTTTTTTATTGTAGAGAGGAGGTCTCACCAAGTTGCCCCAGGCTGGTCTCAAACCCCTGGGCTCAGGCAATCCTCTCATCTCTCCCTCCCAAAGTGCTGTATCCAGCTTAATTATTACAATACTTTTAAAGCATGACAAATATTCAACTTCAAGAATTCTATTTACATTTACATTGTTTTTATAACTACACCAATAATAAACCAGCTAAACCAAGCGCTTAGTCTAAATAATTCTATACATTCTCAGCCATACACGGACTTAATCCTCTACCACTTTTTCCTATCTTACTCTTGGTACTTTGGATTATATTTTTATTTTGCAGGTTTAACACTGTTTTCTTGTTTGTCTGCCTTTTTACCTGACAAGGTTATGAGTTCCTGAAGGGTGGTCTCTCATCTTATTTTCATTTTTATATGCTCAGTGCTTGGCACTTAGTAGTAGTTAATTTTAATAACACATTGTTTTCTATGTGCCAGGCACTGTCTTCAGGGATTTACGAGTATTATACACTTATTCCTTACACTACTTTGGGGTGGGCACTACTGACCTCTCCAGTCTCCACTCTAGATAAATGAATCATAGGATAGTAATAAATGTCTAGTAAATATGGTTTAAATTATATATTTTTTAGTTTAAGAGGTTAGTTATCTCTCTCTCTTTCTCTATTTTAGATAGTACTGGGGTTTTTTTGAGTTGGAGTCTCACTTGGTTACCCAGGCTGGATTGCAGTGGCATGTTCACGGCTACCACAGACTCAACCTGTTGGGCTCAGGTGATCTTTCCACCTCAGCCTTCTAAGTAGCTGGAACTACAGGCATATGTCATCATGCTTGGCTAATTTTTCTTGATTTATTGTAGAGATGGGGTCTCGCCAAATTGCCCAGTCTGGTCTTGAACCTGTGGACTCAGGCAATCCTCTCACATCAGCCTCCCAAAGTTCTGGGATTATAGGTGTGAGCCACTGTGCCTGGCTGATAATATTGGGTTTTTATGTGTTGACATTTTAAAAACAAATCTTCTCAATAATGGAATACTTTGGGGAAATAGGGCAAATGTGATAACATATTTGTATTTAATATTTAAGAACTGGCTGGGTATGGTGGTTCATGCCTGTAATCCTAGCACTTTGGAAGGCTGAGGTGGTAGAATCACTTGAGGTTAGGAGTCTGAGGACCCTGCCTCTACAAATAAATTTTAAAAAATAGTTGGATGAGGTAGCACACACTTGTAGTCCTAGCTATTCAGGAGGCTGAGGCAGGAGGATTGCTAAAGCCCAGAGTTTGAGGCTGCAGTAAGCCATAATCACACCACTGCAATATAGCCTGGGTAGCAGAGCAAGATACTGTCTCTTTAAAAAAGAAAAAAAAATTAGGAATTGAACATCGGTTTGGTTAATAACAGTGGACCTGCATTTGTTTCCTTTTCCTCCTAAAACAACACCAATAAAGTTACCATAAAGGGATTTTTAAAAAATGACATAAACCCACTCATCACAAGGATAAGAGGAATGAAACAGAAGCTCACACATTAAAATTTTAGAAAATGAAAAGAAAGATGAGTGATAAACGATTTACCAGACATAAGAAAGTTAAAGCCTAAATAGGTGGTGAGAAAAACTGAGAACCAGCCAGATGAATACTGCAGAATCCTAAAGTCTAAGGATTTGGGGAATTAGGAATCTGGAAGAGAGGGTGAAGTAGAGGAAGGGTGGTTGAAATACAAAGGATTAGCTGAAAGATTGTTTAACAAACATTCAGATGCTCAGATTCCCTTTTCACTTTGAGTTGTCAAATGCCCCAATCCCACTAAGGGAAAAGACTGGAGATTTAATCTATGAAGAATAAAACCATAGGCACAGATGTAAGAAATGACAAAATACTAAAAAAGGGAAGATTACACGAATATATGTAGATTCCTAAGCCTTCTTTCCAGCCTCCATAATGTTGGCAGCCAGGCCTTTCTCTACATGAAGATTAAGAGTCTTTTCTAAGTTGTTTTACCAGTTCAGGAGAAAAGACTTTAAGATACCAATGTTGGAAGGTTTCCAACTGCACAGCGCATCCAGACTACCCTACAGTGAAGCTCACGACCTACAAAAGCTCCCCCTCACATCCTCAGAGCTCCCAAGCAGCTCTGTAGTTTCCATCAGAACATAATCAGTAACTATTAAAATAGCACCAGGATTATGAAGCATCTCAGGAAAATTTCTCATGTTGAGACAGTGAATAAGGAAATAAACAAAGGAATTTAGAGGCCACAAAATTGCGATGAAGAAAACTTCCAAATCAAAACGGCCAAATCTCACAGATTATAATGTCCTCAGTAAGATGAGAATTCCAACTATGAAACAAAAGTAGGCTACATAAAAGAAACATTTATTTATGAATCAGGATCTCACTCTGTCAGCCAGGCTGGAGTACAGTGGCATGATTACTGCTCACTGAGTACAGTGGCATGATTACTGCAGCCTTGATCTCTTGGGCTCAGGTGATCCTCCTGCCTCAACCTCCCGAATAGCTGGGACTACAGGTGTGCAACATCATGCCTGGCTAATGTTTTCATTTTTTTTTTTTTTGTAGAGAGGAGAGGTCTTGCTACCTTGCCTAGGCTGGTCTCAAACTCCTGGGCTCAAGCAGGTCTCTCACCTTGGCCTCCCAAAGTGCTGGGATTACAGGTGTGAGCCACTGTGCCCAGCCTAAGGAAACATTCAGGAAACAAAAAAGAGTTCCTGAAAATTAAAAATATGAGAACAGAAATAAAAACATAACAGGATTAGGAGATAAAGTTGATTAAAACTGTCTAGAAAGTATAGAAAAAAGGCAAAAAGAAAAAAATAAAGTTAGATGAATATAAGAGTTCTAACAAAATAATAAAAATTTGAGTAAATGGAACAGAACAAGGGATGAGAGAAAATAAGCAACTTCAAGAAAAATTTCTAGAACTGAGGATGTTTCCAGCCTGAAAACGTCTATCAAGGATTGACAGAGACTCTGTGCTCTGACCAAATCTTAGTCAAGCTCCCCTGAGTTCTTTCTGACGATAGGACTCAGAAGACACTACCCCAAAATATGGCACCTTAGCATAGTGAGAATATTTTAAGCTGAAGCAATTTGAAAAAACCACAAAAGCAGTAAGATCTCTCTGGTTTTCTCTGTACTTCTTCCCTAAGCCAGATCATAAAACCTAAAGAGTTCTCTGACATTTTGCTGAAGCAGGTTATAAGATCCCACACCTAGGTGAAAGAAACATCCCATCGCTGAAGACACAGGGACACAAAGAAGAATCTGAACAAACAGGCCTTGTTAAGTTCTCCTGCAATCCCCTTGTTTATCACCATTAGATCATACACCTTTTTGTCCAATAATACTTCTCCACAACTATCCACTCATTTATCAAACTTAGCATTAAAATACACAGGTTCCTGTTTCTTTAGGTATTCATTTCTGAAGGCTCTAGTGCCACATGAAATTTATTAAATACATATGTATGCTTTTTTTAGCCTGTTTTTATCAAGTTTTATTTTTAGATCCAGCCAGGGACACTAAGAGGGTTGAAGAACACTTTCCTTCCCTATACTAAGTAGATTTGACCT